GTATGCAAATTTGGACAAAAGAAGGACCAGAAGTCCACTGATTATAACTGAATTGGAACATGCTGACGATAACAGTAACAACTTTTTTGCATAAACGAATGTTTTTTTTTTGTCAAAAACTATTTGAAATCTATTCTCTATTGTATTAATCTAATAAAGAAAATAATCAATCGTAAAAATACTAACATTGGCTCTCCCACGTGGAGAAATAAAAGTATCTATCTATCATACTGAAGGGAAACAAGTGTGCACATTTCATTTCCACTCTTTTTTTGGAGAGAGAGAGAGAGAGAGAGAGAGAGAGAGAGAGAGAGAGAGAGGGCGCGAGAGAGAGAGAGAGAGAGAGAGGGAGAGGGAGAGAGAGAGAGAGAAAGAGAGTCATTCGTTTTGGCAGTTGCTAATTTCATTTAAATAGCAGCTTTATAGACAAGTAAATGCACTAAAAGACTTCATTACGTTCGTTACACCTAAAATATCTATGTCACTTGTCTATTGATCACAGATATACCGACAACACAGGATGCACTATCTGTTGATCAGCACGTAGTAAGGTTAATGATATGCATGGGCTATTTTTAGATTACCGATCACTGTAGTTTTAACTCCACGTTAGAATTGCGTTTAATTATAAGACACAGTAGATCTAAGTCACGATCAGTGATTCAGTCACGATCTTTTGGTTAGTAGGACCGTCCTTTGGAGACGGAATACTACTACAGTAGATATTCTCTATTGTATAAAACTAATAAAGACAAAAATCAATCATAAAAGAAACAAACAAAATTTCACCATTTTCGTGTTAAATGTTGAATTCTGCTTAAGCCGGTGGACGGTAACTTGCACTTTCCAGTACCGTCCATGAACAGGCTCAATCAAACCGAGCCTGTAACATTTTCAATTTTGTTGTGTTGGACTTTCTTTAGGGATTCTGTTTTTCTCTATTTTGCGTCTTGAAAACGGAACATTTTTGTTTATAATTTATTTCATCCTTCTACTTACGTTTTAAACCGATAAATCAAGTAAAAATAAAAAACTATTTATATAAATAAACTGGGATTACCGAAGTAACTATAAATAGCTTAGATTTCCAAAATATTACTTCGTCTGATTCCGCAGTATGACGGAATCGCCCGAATTGTCACGATTGCAGCGGAAACATAGACTGGTTTCCAGTTGAATCATGCAATAACAAATATAAGCAGGAAACCACCTAACCGGAACAACTTTTTCAAAACAAATGGCTTGCGGCTGTAGCTGCAAGCCAAAAAGTGGATTTTTTTCTCAAATACTACTGGTAAATTTATAAATTACTTATGCTTTTGAATAAATTCATTGATTTAGTTAATAATGTATTCGGTTGAACGTAGGTTTGTGAATTTCATAATTATCTCGCCGAAATTTATTTTGTTTTTAAATTGTGTTGATTACTAAAAAAGAAATGGATAGTGGCTGCTTGCCTTTTGAAAGGACGCTGTTCTTAACATAGTCCTTTTGTAATAAAAATGTGAATATATTATTATGTTGATATATTTATTATAGTATAATGTTTGAAACATGAATGATTCATTGCAGGTAAATCATCTGTCTGTGACATGACAAACAGATTCCTGAATCAGAGTGCTGACAACTGAAATAGCTGGTTTTGGAGACAGAAAATGTCATTTTAGAAGCTAAAGATGACCAATTGATGCAATACACAGTCCTAGGCAATACTTATAATGAGAAAGTATGTTTTTTAAGACAAAAACTTTCTATGATAACGGAAAAATAATTATTCAGCTTGAGCTTTTAGAGTTATTATGTAAAGTTTCATTGTTTTTTTTACTGATTTATTTAAATAAATGTTTCAAAAGAAACTGTTTAATTAATATATACTTTTTACATATGTGTTATATTGTTATATGTGTGTGTGTTCTTATAAGGTTTCTTTTCAATTTTTGCTCCAGAATGTTGTGATGAAAAAAGAGAGCAACAGTCGCCGAGCTGAAAATCAATAGCAAGAAATAGCGTCATCTGGCAAATGATCAAGACATGGTAGAAATAAAGAACGTCTAGAAAAAACTAAACAATTGAAGAAGTTCATATATATCAGGACTCCTGGAGGAACCACAATTGACACTTGACAGTATCAACTCATTTACAAATTACAAAATGCTGTTTAACTCTATTCAACATGATAATGTGAAAAAGTCAGCTATAATCTTTTAAAGTTTTACTCAAACTTGAGATCACTGAAGTATGAATCAATGTGCAAGATCTAAAATACAGTTACTAAATATATCAAAGAAAACAGCTTCACACTTCCTAGACAGATTTTAGGTCTACAGGATGTAAAAAAGCAAAGGAACAAGTAAGAAAAATGTCATTGAGCTTATCTTATCTTAACAAAAAGTAGTATTAATATAGCAAGGTTGTAGTTGCCAGTCACATGACTTAAGTATTTTTGTTCAAACATTTTCATTTTGACTGATCTTTATAGGAAACATGTAAACAGTAATGTTAAAATTTTTATGTGCGTAAGCAAGGAAATAACATACATGGTTTTGCAAAATAGATATCTGTTCTGTTATATGTTAAGGAAAGCAAACAACTAGCTGTAAGAAAAAAAGCTTATTATGAATGAAGGCAAATATCGGCTGTAAGTCGGTAAACCGATATCGGCATCCGATATCGGCCCGACATTGAGCCGGTTTGCACATCCGATGTCGAGCCGACTTCGGATGCCGATATCGGGCCGACATTGTAGATGATATCGGGCCAACAACGGTCCTATATGTAATGTTTGCTGGGATGTGTCAATTAAGTTAATTCACGTCCAGAAAAAGAAACATTCTATCCCATCACAAAACTTCCTTCATGGGCTCCAATTAGAATCGGTTACCTCAGATAAATACTTAGGCGTGGATATATCAGAAAACCTCACATGGGATGCCCATATAGAAAGAACATCAAGAAAGCAAGCCAAACCTTAGAATTCCTACCTTATTTCTTCCAAATAGATCAAATCGAAAATGTCCAAAGATGAGCAGCCCGATGGATTAAACTAGATTATGGTCAGACCTTTAGCGTCACGGACATGCTTCAATCCCTTAACCTTCGAAAACTGGAACTCAGATGTATAGATGCTAGGTTATCCTTTCTTTATAAGATTCACCATGGTCTGGCTGCTATCCCCATAGACGAATATTTGACACCCCTCTCGGGAACATAACGCCACGTCTATCCCTTATGTTATAGGTTATTCACAGCAACTTCAGACTATTATAAATTCTCATTCTTTCCTAGGACGGTATACCACTGTAACCACCTACCCCCTGCAGTTGCCCTACTCCCTACCACCCCAGAGCACTACAGTGCAGCCATAGCTTGCATCGAACATGTCTCACCCTAGTTTTCCAGCACCTGTTTTTAACATTTTTAAATATTCTTTTATCCTCTTTTAAACAATCTTTTTCTTACTTTCTTGCGATTTTTGACGCGCAGACATGTCTACGTCCCTGCGAGGGTTTAACATTAACGGAAGATAGATAGATAGATCCTTTATGTTTATTTCTCAAAAGCTTTGTATTTGGTGTCCTGTTGCAGTTTCCAAAAAGTAACTAATTTGCAAATTACTTGAACCATCATTTGCCTCTCTTACTTTTTAGCAGTAAGTAAAGTTATTTTGAATAAGTATTTTGTGTCGAAGAGAAAATACTACTGTGTTTGAATTTTGATACTTTTATGACAAACATTTTTTATAACCATTATCTTAATATAATACAGGATTACATAAAAGCTCGTGCAAAACTAGGAAAGTCTGATATAAATATTTAAAGTTATATTTGTAATACCTATGGCAACATTGATGTGTCTTGTGCAACTATTTTGAGGTAGATCCATAAATTAAACAATTAATGGACACAAGTCAATTAAAGATGCCTGTGTGTCTGGCAGAAAACTGACAAAAACATTCAAGTTCAGCTTATCATTGACAAAAACTTTCAATTACCCAAATAGCCCATATCGCAGGGATATAAAAAGAGTCAAATTAACGCTTGTTAGGCGAATATCTGCCAGATGGAAACCACATTTGCTAACATCTGTCCAGAAAAAAGAGCGAGTTAAATGCGCTTAAAATTACTTAAACTTGTTTCCTTAATATGACAGTCACTGTTTTTCTAATACTATGACTGTTGAAGAAAGCTGGTTTCATTTCACTATTTTATGCCAGTTCGCAAGTGTAATTATTAGAATTGGGCCACCAAATATAGCCGTCGTACATGTATTGCCAAGCGATTGACAGGATCTCTTTATACTTCTTTCAGACGTGTCTTTGCATTTTGTTTCATTTACTGTTGCGTCTGTTATATCTGAAACTCCTTCTACTGTTCCAATTCTATATGTCCATGGCTTGCTATGTCCTTTTCATAACTTTTTAGTGCCATCTACCAATGTTTTAGCCGTTTCCTCCATATGTTTCAATTTTTATCTCCTTCAAGCGGATGATCTCTTATTTTATATGCTTCACTGACGTTTTTCCTCTTAAACTTACATCTTCTGAGATGTCGTATTTGACTCTTCATTTAATCTGTTTTTGTCATGTTTTATTTCTATTTTCACGTAAGTCTTACACAAGTCTCTATGCTTTTTTTTCATTATCTGTATCGATTAAAATCTATAATTTTCCTTTTCCCAGTCTTGCTACTTTTTTACCTATAAAAATGCCAATTTCCTAATATATGAAATTAAGCTTGATGTTTTTTGTCTTGAATTTATAGTTGGCACTTGCACAAACCAGAACGACAATGTGATACGGTTCAATTTCAATAATTAAAAACAACACATGTACATACACATTCAAATGACAAACCACTTTTTAATACTCAGGTGGTCCTTACTTTGTAGGGGAAGTTCCTCTCCATGGTTGAACAAATTATATACTGACTTGTCAAACACAATTATATAAATGCCTGTGAGAATGAAATCAAACAAGGTCGACAGAGTAGCCTTTCTTTAAAAAAAAAAAAAAAACAATAACGATCCTATTTTCAAAAATTGCATCAACAGCATGTTTCATCTATAGATTTAATTTACAAGTAGCAAAGAAAAAAATCATATCACTTTTTTTATAAATATACTGAATACTATTTGCAACAGATAGAATGAATTACCATACAAAGTCATAAATACAGGATAAAAAGAAAATGTGTGAAAACTTGCTACATTAATATAACATAAAAAAGTTAAACAATTATAAATATAAAACTATAAAAAATACAGCCTCACGATGTCGTGATTGTTTCTTTGATGTTATATTTTACAAACGATAAAAATAGACACTCTCCAGAACTACTTCATCAGACAAAAATACATAAAAGTTTTCCAATTCTATACTTTCGACTGATATTTACAGTTTTTCTAGTCCATTTCCTAGGAACTGATCATAGCATCTTTATTAGTTTCATGCATTGTCTTTACTGATGCTGTAACTTGATCGTGAAGAGGCAGAGTATAACATAACTCGCATTAACTGGCATAACACATCAAAATATTTCAACGGCATTATCGATAATGCCACCACTAGTACGGAACCTGACTTGTTGCAACTCTCTCCAATCAGAGTAATACTCGTGTTAGTTCAGATTCAGCCTATAATAATAATTATTGTGGTTACTCTAACAATGATATCATTACATGGTGCACAGCGATGAAAGGACACTATGAATGAGTCAAAAATTAAATACTTCAAACAAGGATTTTTAGTAACACAAGTTTTATAATATTCATTATATGTGTCATAACATGAGATGAATTTGGTTTGCGACTATGTGAATTACTTCCAAAATGAGCACAAATAAAGTGACACTTGTGAAGTTGACGTTGTAATATCCAATCTTTTATCAAGTCAAACGTTCTAAAGTTTCGTTCAGTTAAAAATATTTGGTTCCTTTCGGAAAAAACGACATCTTTAATGACTAAAAACTTCTACAAATAGTTCGATCAACGCTTTTCAATATTTCGATGACAATTTTAATGTTCTAATTTTTGTTATTTCATTTTCAATTTATGGGTAGTATGAATATGGCTGTGCTGGCGCTGTCGGAACAGAAGTTGGTTGGACACCATATTGTGTGGAATTCTGTCCAATGCCGAAATATGGTGGAGGCGGAGTATACGGTGGGGGATTCGAACCTGGGTAATAACCTCCAGTAGAATAAACATCTTGTTGAGCGTACGGAGACTGGCCCTGATGATACTGGGTTCCTCCGACCGTGTTTGGATAATAAGAATAATTAATTCTCTGATTGTAGCCCTTGGGTTGATAGCATATTGTAATATATGACAGGAATGTAACTAGTAGCAGAAGAATAATTCCTGATAAAATACATGCTGACAATATGACGTGCGTCATATACACGTCATTAACGCTATCATCATTATCGTTTTTCAGAAATGATATATTAAACGAGATTCCAAAGAAAGAGTTCATAATTATAGCAAATCCAAAGACCAGTTGTAAACGTTCCTGAAAATATACGAGAAAAAATATTAAGAAAGTATACACTAGTAACTATTATTTTGTCTCACGCTTAGTATTTATAAATGAATCATTTCATTTCATTACTGGATCAGTGAATGGGGGGATCAGAATATATGTTTTACATATTTTTAGACTTAATCAGTACAAACGTTATTCGTGCATTGAATTCCATTATTTTTTTTATTATGTGGCAATTTATAAAGACTTATAATGTGAATTAATTTCATGGTCCAAATTCGAATTACTCTTTCAACTATTGCATTTCGGGCAATTTAATGAATATGCTTATATTCATAGTGGGTGATATCGTGACATTTGATTACGATAAAATTTGATCACCGCTAAGGTAGCTCATGTTCTTTCCCCCTATATGCAAGCAGAAACTTGTGATACGATAGTAATACATATTTTCATTTAAAATATTGCTGCATTGATAATTTCTGCAGGCATTAGTAAAAATGAAAAGACTTACTATGGAAAGTTTTGTTCTATTGGAAACGGCAAATATTTGCCAGGAATATGGTTTATGCGATATATGCCGAAACCAAATAATACCGTCAACAAACCGTGTCTTCATCCACCCCGTATATTTCCATCATTTACTTTAAAATAGAGAAAAACAGAATCCCTAAAGAAAGTCCAACGCAACAAAATTGAAAATGTTGCAGGCTCGGTTTGATTGAGCCTGTTCATGGGCGGTACTGGAAAGTGCAAGCTACCGTCCACGCGCCCTAGCACCGGCTTAAGCAGAATTCAACATTTAACACAAAAATGTCGAAATTTTGAATTTAGAAACATCCGCAGATGTGTTCATACGGCGGTTATCATGGAACCTTCAATATGACACCGTTGTGCCATTCCATGAAAAGCGGCGTATGGTCCCAAAGTAAAAGAATGCTTTTGCCCTTAACGAGAAAACAATGGGCGGAACCAAATAAAATGTAATTTTGAAAGGGGATCTGAGGTTATGAAGCCTGCATATCACAGATAAGACGTCAAAAGACAAATTTAAAAAAGCAGGCAACATATCCTAAGGGTGATTATACAGTATTCAAGTAGGAATACTGGAACCATCCAAGTTAAAAATTGCCAAAAATAAGAAACTAAAAGTACCACATAACATGTATACACAACAATAATGTCGTGCTGAACGATCTTCAAGGATCGAAAATATAACATCATTGATTAAATGTACGGGGAGACTTTTTACAGCCGCCACACGGCACAAATAACACGGATGTGACAATTAAAAAAACTGCAAATGATGTCATTCAAAACAAACGGCATTACAATTAAACTACAATTTTATATCTTACTGTACACAGGGATTTTTTCCGAAGATCATAGTTATAAGAAGATGCTTTGTAAACGGTCAATATGCCACCAATGCCTGCTACTGCACCCTGAAAGTATAAACTAGTAAGATATACTTCCATTTAAACCGTCATCGTCAATATTCGACAAACTAGTTTATCTCCCATTGTGTATTTAAGTTAAAATGAAAGCGGCGAGATAAATTGTTTATCTTAGTCACATACCGGTACATGTATATGGACGTGTTTCATATCAGTTCAAAACTTTAAAAGTAGCCAGATTTTTTTCTATGTAGACTGCATGTTCTTATTTATCTTTTAAATCATTGTATATCTAATATGCCAGAAAACTTTGCTTCAGACAACTGTCTTCTCTGTAACTTTTGCAATACTTTGGAAACTATATCGGTCTGAACGGACTTTGGCTGAACAAGAAATGTTTCATGGTTGTACAAAAAAAAGATCTTTAAAGAAGATGGCAGACTACATTATTGATACATACCGGTACTCCGGATGTAAATCCACACATAAAGTAGTTATTAAAATGATCTTCTTGTATCTCCCCTATTACGGCGCAAACAACTAAACCAACGCCTAAAAAAACTTGTGCTCCAGAAATGAACTTCAATTTTTCAATACTCGATTCGCACACAGTCTTCTCTAAAATGTAAAAGAAAAAAAAACGTTTTAAAGGAAAGACATTGGATGCACGTTCATCAGACATTTGAATTTCAGAGACACTTAATATGGTAAAATATGTATTCACATTTGAAACAATCATGTGTATGCTGAGCTATGCTTAAATTCCGTTTCAGAAAGGTGTCGATGACTAATGTCGATATTTAGACAATTTGTTTCTAACTGTTATTTGAATCATGTTAAGGGCATTGAATTTTCTTATATTTGTTACTATCCAGCTTAATGAAGGGGAATCACTGGTTCTATTAATATGCTAATAATGCAAGATAATTTTTTATAGAAACCGGTGGGAGAGAAATGATAGACTGCCAAATATGTGAATAAGACTGAGACATTTTATGTAGATAAATATTGATTCATGTTCGTAAGAAAAGAAATCATTCTGAAGTACTTCTACAGGAAACCGAGCATGTGGAAATCTTCTAAGTTCAAAAAGAAATTATTGTTTTAAAAAGACCACATTCTGATTTGTGCGTGAAAGCTTAGAAGCTGTAGTTTAAATGATCTTATCCCCTTATTTCATATAATATTATACTAGTCAAAAAATGTATTTTTAACAGCGAAAACATTTTATACTACATTATACTTTGTACATTATAGAATTGTGTATTTTGAATTTTAGTCTCGTCTTCGAATTAACCTGATTCGATTATTCTTACACTGTCCGGATGTCTAATAACATCGGCAGTGTGACATAAAAACATTTTTAAACTTAACCCATATTAGTGACATCGGGGCATAGAAAATAAAAATAGAATTCGTCTGTTCATTTCCTATGTTTACAATAAATTGATGTGTAGACTACCTCAGTTCAAGGTCACACTGACTCATTTAAAATCCTTATATAAGTGTATATATTACAAACGGAGATTACAATGTATAAACGTATTTATATGTTTCGTCCCAGTTAATTAATAAAATATAAAATACTTTATAACTTTATCAACTTTAAATTCACGTTATATTTTAGAGTTTTTCCTGTTCAGATTGTAATAATTGAGGAGCTTCTATATAGGTCTATATGATTTGATTATTTTGAAATGAGACAATATTATTAAACTAATGTTACTTAAGATAGGTTAATTCACTTAATAACATTAAGTCGTAAATGAGGCACATAAAATGTCAATTTTTTAAGGCAATTTATCATAACTTTGGACATGAATACTGTTTCGCTATATTGTGGGCAGTCTCTCTTATTGAATGACTGATATACATGTGCATAGGAAGAAAGACCAATATAATAAGTTTAGCCAACTGCATTTTTAAATTGCAGACTTTGTTGGCACTAAAAAAATTATATAAATCATGCTCCTGGGGTAAAATTGGTCCTGCCCCAGAGGTCACATAGATAGAAAAACCTTTTTATCATATATGTATTCTGATGTAAAGTTCTCAGTTATTTGGCATGCATCAATACATAGAAGAACCCTGCAATTTTTACAAAAATCATTTCACTGATATAAATAAAATGGCTGTGCAAAGTGAGTTGGTAGGAGGAGGATAGGTAGGCCTGGCACAGTTTACAGATTTATACAGTGAACATGTTTTAAAAGATGCAGAGCATAGATTTTTATAAAGCATGTATCATCACTTTGTTACAGTAGAATTATCAGTTTTGTGATGGATGTTTGTGTGAGCATTGATGTTATTAATGTAAAGGGTGTTAATAAAAAAGAAAATTATTTGCAAGCATAGCATTTTTATATTTCTAATTTAATTATTAATTTGTGCCTTTGAATTTCTTCTTTAATATTATTTATATGTTTCTTTGAATTTTTATCTTTTTAAAACCAACCTTATTGTTGTTTTCAGTCAGTAAATCCAACACTATTGTTGTTTTCAGTCAGTAAATAAATTTACTCCGTGACAATTTCATGGAGATAAATAATCACCACTCTGTGCTGCAGCATTATTAGCTTTTTAAGAGCGTAACCGATGACATGTCTTGAGTCAGTAATCCACAGCAGAAAGCTGTGGCATATATAATTGTCACTATTAAAGTATTCATGTGACAAGAGCATAGCTCTTTGGCATGCATCAATATAGATCTTAATATTGCTAATTGAAATGAAACAGGTTTTGGACAAATGTAATAAATGTTTTTCAAACATTATTTTAACGTAAAATGTTAGTTACTTAAA